TTTATTTAATTCATTGTGATGTTTGGGACCCTTCTAAAATCACTACTCTTTCTAGTAAAAGATGGTTTGTTACATTTATTGATAACCATACACGCTTATGTTGGATTTATTTGATGAATAAAAAATCTAACGTGAAAAATTTATTCACAAATTTTTACAATATGATTGAAAACCAATTTCAAACCAAAATTGGTATTTTACATTCTGACAATGGAACAAAATATTTCAATGAGCACTTAGGTGAGTTTTTGGACAAAAAAGGGATTTTCCATCAATCTACATGTCGAGATAGCCCTCAACAGAATAGCATTGCATAACGAAAAAATAAACATTTACTTGAAGTGACACGTGCTATAATGTTTTACATGCATGTTCCTAAGTATTTATGGGGTGAAGCAGTTTTAACAGCCCCTTACTTGATAAACAGGATGCCTACTACAATGTGAACATACAAAACACCTTTTGATTGTCTAAAAAAAATTTTCCCTGAAACAAGGTTGTTTTCTGATTTACCCATCAAAGTTTTTGGATATACTGCCTATGTTCATGTTCCTAGTCAACTTCGTTCAAAACTTGACCCACGTGCTATAAAATGTGTTTTTTGGGGTTATTCATCAAACCAAAAGGGATGTAAGTGTTTCGATCCTCAAACAAAAAAATTCCATGTATGGATGTGTCCTTCGTGGAAACACAATCCTATGTCACCAAACATTCTCTTCAGGGGGCGACAAGTGGAGTGGAAGACAATTTTTGGGATATTTCTATCCCACTCCCCAATGTCATTTATCCTACACAAGAACCACACATTTCTAAGAATAGTCACTTAGGAAATCCAAGTCCAAGTGCGTCTGATAATGCCCACTTAGGAGAACCAGGTTCTTTGGTGCCTAGTAATGAAGATTCTCTTTCAAGGGGAGAAGTACTACAAACTGATCAACATGATCTAATTCTAAGCTTCAGGTTTATACTAGGAAGAGATTTCATCTGAGGAATGAAGGCCTGAATGTCCACCCGAGTTCTGGAACCAAAACTTCAGGTAATCCTATTCCTTCTATTTTTGACCTTGATGTTCCTATAGCAATTAGGAAAGGTGTCCGAAATTGCATTAAACATCCTATTGCAAATTACCTCTCCTATCAAAGACTGTCTAAAAACCATAGAGCTTTCACATCTAGGATTTCACACTTGTTTGCTCCAAGGAATATACAGGCAACACTAGATGATCCAAACTGGATATTAGCAGTCATGGAGAAGAAGAATGCTTTAAGAAGAAGTGGTACTTGGGAGATAATTGATCTACCCAGAGGCAAGAAAATAATTGGGCGTAAATGGGTGTTTACAATAAAATGTAAAGCTGGTGGAAGCGTCGAGAGATACAAGGCGAGACTGGTAGCTAAAGGCTTCACTCATACTTATGGGATCGATTATTAGGAGACTTTTGCTCTTGTTGCTAAAATAAATTCCATCAGAGTACTGTTATCTCTTGCAGTAAATTCATATTGGCCTCTACATCAACTTGACATTAAAAATGCGTTTCTTAATGGTGATCTTGAAGAGGAGGTGTTCATTAGCCTACTGCCGGGATTTGAGCAGAGACTTGGTAGCAACAAAGTATGCAGATTGAACAAGTCATTATACAAACTCAAACAATCACCAAAAGCATAGTTTGAACGCTTTGGAAAGGCAGTTATCAATTGTGGCTTCTCGCAGGGTCAAGCAGATCACACAATATTTTATAAACATTCAAAAGACAGTAAAATTGCAATTTTGATTGTTTATGTTGATGACATCATTTTAAATGGTGATGATGAAGCAGAATTAGCATCCCTAAAGAAGAAACTCGCAAAAGAATTTCAAATTAAGGATCTGGGAGCCCTCAAGTATTTCCTTGGAATGGAATTTGCAAGATCCAAGGAAGGTATATTCGTTAACTAGAGAAAATATGTTCCTGATCTCCTTGGAGAAACAGGTTTGCTTGGTTGACTCCGATCGAGCCTAACTTGAAGTTACAAGCTGCTAAGGCTGAAGAAGTCAAAGAGAGGGAACAATATCAGCGACTTGTAGGGAAATTGATTTACTTGTCTCATACACGGCCTGATACCGCCTTTGCAGTCAGCATGGTTAGTCAGTTCACGCACTCACCAAGGGCAAAGCACTTTGAGGCCGTTTATAAGACCTTAAGATATCTAAAAGCAACTCCAGCAAAAGAGACTTACTGTTCAAGAAACATGGACACCTTCAAGTTGAAGTCTACACCGATGCGGACTGGGCAGAAAGTGTTTCAAACAGGTGATCAACTACTGCTCCTTTGTAGGTGGGAACCTAGTTACGTGGCAGAGTAAAAAACCGAATATGGTAGCTAGAAGTAGTGCAAAAGCAAAGCTATTGCCCATGGAATCTGTGAGGTAATGTAGATCAAAAGAATTCTTGAAGAATTGAAGCTTTCTCATCCGCCTCCTATGAAGGTCTATTGTGACAACAAAGTAGCTATATCTATAGCTCATAGTCCAGTTCCACATGATTGCACAAAACATATGGAAGTGGATAAACATTTCATCAAGGAGAAAATCAATGCTGGAATAATATGTATGACATACCTTCCAACAGGTGAACAATTAACTGATGTGCTAACGAAGGGACTACACAAGAAGCAATTTGATAAGCTAACTAGCAAGCTGGCTATGGAAGATATCTTCAAACCAGCTTGAGGGGGAGTGCTGGAAATTTGGTTATTAAAGCCTTGATTCAGTCAATATTCTAGGATCTGTTTTTCTATGTAAATATGGATAGTAGAAGCTGTATGAAATCAAGAAAAGTAGGAAAGTAGAAGCTGTCAAATATTAACTTTAATTAGTTTTGTTTTCCGTTGTAATTGCTCTCTTTATGAGAGAGAATCATGGAATCATGTTCTTATTCTTTGAGCGTGAAAATATATTCATTTCTCATATTTTCTGAGTCATTAGAAGGATGATTTTATCCATAAGCTTTCTATGCTACAAAATTTTCATACCAATACAATGCCAAGAGCTGAATGGGCATTTAAATTTTCTTTCTCAAGTTTCAAAATGTCAAAAAAATGATGAATGCACAACAAATGAGTAATAAGTCATAAGAAAGAAAGAAAATATATAAATAAATAACTTGCCATATAGAAGTTGAGGAATTTAAAATTTGACCATCATGTATACCTGCACTAGGGTCTCCAAGTTTCTTCTAAGGTTCGAAAATTCCTTCTTTGTTTGATTGAGAGCCTGAATGCAACTGAAAGGTTCCCATTGCAAAATAAGTAAATAAATAAAAATACAAAACAAAACAAAACCAATAATTCAAATCAATGGATACAAAGGGCCTAAATAAGAAAAAGTCGCCTAGAGAGGAAAGAAAAGCTATAGGGCCATAATAGCGAGATTTGTTTAGTTCAATGTCATCTAGAATAGCCAGATGCTTGAAAATAGGGCATGACAAGAGTAGACTTGTACAAATTACACTATAAGAATGTAAGACACTTCTAGAGTAACTTTCTCTTAACAATCAGACTTCTAATAAAATGTAGGTTCTTTTTTTGTTCCTTTTTTATTTTCAACAAATTCGTCATATAGCAACACATTTCCATTAGCATTATGACCCATTTCTGATGTCCTGTCAAAAATTCACTCTCCTTAGATTTTAGTTCGTTGTATCTGATTTTTTTAATCCTAGGGAAACCATTTGTAAATATATTGGAAAAACGTTTAAGATCACTAAATTTACCGTTTTAGAAGAAAAGTGTACCGTGTTTCGAAATATTTGTTCCAAAACATAATTTGCTTTGGTAAAACTAGTTTAGTTCATTAAAACTATAAAGATATCCACAAATAGAAAGAAAAAAATACGTCAAAGTAGAAATTTATAATTGTTGATGAATGCACAAGCTAGTTTAACAATATTTTAAGAACCCAAACAGCATAAAGTTTCATCACCAAATTATAACAGCATACCTAAGAAAGGTTTGGGGCATAAAACGTAACTAAGAGGGAGATGCAAAAAATTGTTTCATTTCACTTAATCAAAAAGAGATGTTAATTTCAAAAGTTATTTTCTAGTACAATCTTTACAATAAAGCAAAAATGGCTGACATTATGGAAAAATAATAGAAATTTGATTTTTGGGAAAATATACCATGATAATGTTCAAAATTACAAAGTGCTTTTAAGATTTGAAATAAAGAAACATTGTAATTGAATTTCAACCAGAATGGAAGATGCCTAGCTTGAAAGTAGCAATGAGTTTCCCACCAACTACAAGATAAATACATAATGTTTGCAATTCTATTTTGAGTCTATTGGATAGCTTGATATACATTGGTGGGCCGATTTCCTAACAGCTTAAGCTTTTGGGATAATTGGTGACTTAACATGGTATTAGAACTCAGGTTGAGAGAAGCCATGGGTTCAAGTTCCACCATTGGCATTCTATATTCTGTCTCCATTTGGTTGTTTGTTTCTCCTTCTATTTGGTTCTTTGCTTGTCTCTCCACGTGTAGGGTTGCACCTGGGGTGTTGGATAGCTTGATACACATATTTGGGCCCATTTCTCACAGCTTAAGCTTTTGGAATAATTGGCGACTTAATAGAGACATTCATTTCATCCTAGTGCGCAAAAACTACACGAAGCATGAAATAACTCCTTGACTCAAAACAACCCATTTACTGTTATGTTGAATATATACTAATTTTGTAACATATTAATATACACTTCACAAACTAGTTTCCCAGACTTAAATTGTGATCTTATAGGATATTCAATGTAGTTATTAAAGATTCATTCAGTTCTTAGCCATCCATAGGCCAAGAGAGTGAAATAATAGCCATTCAAATGATTACTATCAAAAATTCTAGTTGGAGAGTTGGGAAGCAACTAACAGTTAATGGAAATTAGAGAATGAGAAGAACTATTTTAGCATATACAAACAAGAAATTGGTAGTTACACCAGATAAAATCTTTGCTTACCCATTCTTATCAAATGCTTGACAACTACGAAGAATGTCGATAGATGCAATCTTGACATGTTCTGCACCAATACTGTACCAAGTGAAAAAAGTAACACTCGATGAGTAACTAGTAACTACAATAAAAATGGGAAACAAGGACTAGAATCAACAAGATTATGATGGATTATAGTGCTATGCATATCCAGAGAAGCAAACTAGTCGTACCACTAAGAATCATGAAATGACATATCAGATGTACTCATCATTTGTCTGATCAGTATTTATAAACATCAAACAATATTCTTCTCTTTCGTTAAGGTTTTACTTAAAGTGAAAATAGTAATACTATCACTCCCAAACAAGCACAAACATCCAAATCCTGCCCCCTAACATAACTCCTTAAATAACGGATCCAAGTGTTCACAATCATAATAGAAAAAGGAGCATGAAAGAATGAGACTATTGTTGGACGATCTTGGATAGAACTCAACCCCAAAAACTAGCTCTTAAGGTGAGGATGCCCTCACGCTTACATACTGTATTGTACCCAAACGATGTGGGACTTCACTTCACACCCCCCCTCACACACAGCGTGCTCACTCGATAGCACCTGCCTTGTTCAAACCAGGGACACGCACCCTAGGTACTCCGGCTCTAATACCATAATACACAGTCTTAGGTAGAACACAACCCCAAAAGCTAGTTGTTAAGGTGAACGTGCCCTCACACTTACATATTGGACATTACTTTTGTACCCATTTAATGTGGGACTTCACTTCACATCTATATGTAGAGATCTCCTCTGAAGTTTAATGTTAGCGTACCTTTATTTTATTATCTCTTACAATTTACGCAGCATTAATCAGCATTTTCAACTTCAATTGATAAAACATTCACAAGACAAGTAATTCCATGGAACTTCTGGATAAGGGAATCAAAAAAAAAGGTACATGCCAATTATAGAGGGCTAGGATCAACAAATGATATTATATACTATTATATAAACTATGGCTTTTGTCATGCCAGTTTACATATATTTCGCAAAGGACCAAGCACTAATTACTGCAGAGAATACAGTTGGAACCAAACTACATACCATTTATTCTGTTGCGGGTTTTTGGACTAGTTGCAACAAATATTATTGCCGTGCAAAAAGCATGCATACAGATTGTCAGAGAAATTATTGCAGTAATTTAGGACCATCAATCATACTCGAAATAGTCATTTGAAAGATTTGAGATTTCCACTTTGATTTCCATTACAATTGAGATCTATGAAGCATAGACACTTCAAAATAGGCGCTGTAGTGGTGTCGGACACGGGGATACGTACGGGACACACCAAATGGCATGTCCCTTTAATTTTATTATTTTTTTTCAGTGGACACGTTAGGGACACGGAAACATTGCAGGGACACGCCAAATTTAAATTTTTTAGGGAAAATTATGCAAATAGTCCCTGTAATTTACACGATGTGTCAATTTGGTCCCTGTGGTTTCAATTTATTCGATTTTGCCCCTTAATTTAACGAATTTTGTCATTTTAGTCCAATAAATAACGGTTGCTAAGTTAATTTAACGGAAAGTGAAACAGTGTGTCAATTTGGTCCTTATATTTTACACAATGTGTCAATTTAGTCCTTGTCAAAATCGAGAAAATTGAAACTACAGGGACTAAATTGGCATTCGTGTAAAGTACAGGAACCAAATTGACACATTGTTAGACCTTCCGTTAAATTAACTTAACAACAGTTATTTATTGGACTAAAATGACACAATCCGTCAAATTAAGGGGCAAAATCGAGCAAATTGAAATTACAGGGACCAAATTGACACATCGTGTAAACTATATGGACTATTTGCATAATTTACCCTATTTTTTATTTTTTTTTACAAGGGGCACGTCGGGACACGCCAAGGACACTTTTTCAAATATGAATAATCTATTAATTTGTTTGAATGTAGTTGTTTATATACATATATACATTGAATTTATATTAGTTTTTATTAATTTTGATTATTTGGTAACATAATATTAATTTACATAGCAAATATATATAATAAAAATAATAATAATTTGTCGTGTCCCTCGTATTGTCCGTGTCCCCATTTTTTTGAAATCACCATGTCCCGTGTTTGTGTCCATGTCCGTGCTTCATAAATTGAGAGGAAAATTCCACCCTTACTAATACATTTATGTAAATAGAGCTATGCCAAAAATTAGTCGGAAAAAAAGGTGGAATGCATCATAATTTGTCATCAGAAAGAGAGATGACATCTTCAAAATCATAATTGTACAACGAAATAGAAAAAAGAATGAGCAAACAAAGCAAATGAACTATTTCAGATACTGTGTATTTCTGACAAAATTGAAGCGTGTTGATCTTTTAGACTCACCAAATAATTAGAACTACATCATGGGCAAGTTGTGAACATCAAGTATTTCCACAAGCTTAAGATGCTACTTAGAAACATAGGTGAAAGAATTGACAATGGAATAGAAAACAATGATTTGTGCCTAATTAGGAAATATATATATATATATATATATTATATAACACCATGATTTTTTTCCCCAGCAAATACCACTGTTAGCTAAACTTTGGAAATGCAGGTAGCATGAGGACTTTGCACCACCCTAAAGAATTAGGAGTAATGATTCAATAGTTCGGGAGAATCGGTTTACATTATTTAAAAAATATAAATAAATTGAGATAATTACAAAAAAAATCTAAAATTTTAGTTTTATTTTAAAAAAAAAATTAAATTTTTAATTTTTTTACTAAAATAGCATAACTAAGGTTGATAAATTTCATAAAATTAAATATTTAACATAAAATAGATATTAAATACATATAATAAAAATATAAAAATATATGTTTTGAGCGTGGCTCCAACGTGTCGTGTCTTACATTTTTTGAAAATTTACATATCCGCGTGTCTGTGTCCCTGCTCGTGCTTCTTAGACCCCAACCTTAGCAAGTTTAGAAATTTATGTCAAATTTTTCCTGATCCTTCAATCAATTCAAAGGGTGAAAGTACAATACATTCGGCTTCTTTCATACAGATCACAGGCTTGTAGCGCAACTTCATAGAAATTCACTTCAGTTTCATTGCTGCAAGGATTTCAAAATACAAAATGTCATACCCAAGCCAAGTGCTAAATCTTTTAAGAAATTGAAACTCAAGCACAAAGCTTCATAAGTTTGGATTACATCATATTCGATAGAAGAAAGAATAGGTTTTTTACTGCCATGCAGTACAGTGTGACTGCCCTCACAACGAACTCGGGCGTATTTGGTTTCTTCAATTCTTGTAATTTAACAAACTGATCGTTAACCATTCCCTGCAAAACATGAGAGTCGAACACATTACCAACCATTTAGCACTCTCTTTAAACAATATTTCAACCTTGAAATCACAATTCTGCTCAATTGAAGTAGTTTTAAGCATAAAGTTAGGAAAATGACAAGACACTAGATTGTTGAATGTTGTTGATGTATTAGCTAAGACGCACGGGCATTTCTAAAAGGGCAACATGTCGTGTCCAACACTGACACGACACGACACTCATTAGACACTTCCCAACACAAAGCCACAAATAAAAACACATTAGAAGTATGAACAAAATAACTTGGAATTCAACAATAAAACAAAATCAATGTAAATTTATAACTAGTCTCCTCCTTTCGACCTTAAAAATTATTATATTTGACTTAAACATTCATATATATGACATATAATAATAATTTATCCTTATATGACACATAATGATCATATAAAATTATATATTTTGCACGTAACTCCCACGTGTCGTGTATTACATTTTCTGAAATTTCCGTGTTGGCATGTCCATGTTTGTGCTTCTTAGGTTACTAGTAGTAGTAGCCTTTCGAAAACAAAGAAGACAACAAATAGGTTGTTTTCATTGATCTTCTCAAAGAAAAGTCTTGAATCCGTTGCCTTTTAAGTTCAAAAAGGGAATTTATTCAATAATAAAAAATTAATGCAAATCAAGCAAGGCATAAACAGCACAAAAGCTAGGGTTTATCTTATACTACTCGAATTTAAAAATAAAAATTAAAAATAAAAATAAAAACATTTACGATGATTTCATCAATGTACTAAAACAATCTAACCAAACAAGGGTATTCTCCTTAGTTACATGAAGCGAAGATGAGAGCAAGGGCGGGGGTGGGAATGAGGGCTATAGAATTTCTAATGTTGAGAATGCCTATAGGAGCGTGTATATATTTTATATATTAAATGTATGACTATATTCTAACAAAGGGCAGGGGCGGGAGTGGGAAACATCACCTAAGTAGGAGTTTCCTGCTACTAAGGTATTCTCATATGAAAATGGATTCAAACTTCAAAAATAGACCAATGATTAAAAATTCCATTCCTCATTTCACACTCCCTTAGGCCAGCAAGGGTTTAGGCTCGGTAATTACAGTATCTGTGGGCCAAGACTCTATGTACTAGGATTTGTCAAGACCAAAGGCGGCTCAACCCTATTTGAGGCATAAGACAAAAAATCCAATTTTTATATCAAAAAATCATTATAATTTTTATTTTTTTTATGCTATAATTTGAATTTAAAATTCATAGCATCCACGTTCAAACAATTTTATTGATTGTTGTTGGGGATGTTTGTATTCTTACCGGTTTGTGCATATAACCTGTTTGCAACCCGCTCAACCAGAGTAATGCCACTACATGCAACTGGGTTCTTGTTGTATCTGGATCTTAGTATATCTATGTGAGTTAGCCCGTAGATTAGGGATATGAACTGTGATAGATGGCTTTGAAGAGAGACAAACGCTCCTTTGTATTTCCTACTTTTGATAGTGAAACTCTGTCATTCTTCGCCTGTGGATGTAGGCTTATCGACAAACCATATATATTCGTGTTCTTGTGTGATTGTTTGTTTTACTTTCTCTTTTTCATTCGTTCCATTTCGTCATAACAGTTTTAATTTTTGCTTGATAATTGCCTAATATCATCAACTTTCACAACCCCAAAAAACAAAGAAAATTATAATTAATAAATCAAATTATGTAAGATTTCACAATTTTTTGGTACTTCTTCAGTTTATAAGAATTGTTTTACATTGATAGTTCATTTCTTTTATGCATATAAATATTGTAGGGTTAAGGCCCTAGGCGAGCACCCAAGCCGCCTATCATTTCACTAAAACTCAAGCAGTTTCCTGAAAACTCTCTTCAAGCCACCACTGAAAGAAAATAAATAAATAAATAAAATAAAAGAAGGTAAATTTTAATTTTAATTTTAAAAAATTAAAAATTAATAAAAATTAAAAATTAAACAAAGACATTCATGAAATCAATTTACACTAATACAGATTTGCCAGCAGAATTCAAAAAAAAAAAACAAATTTTAAAATCTGACCAAACACTTTCATGAAATCCATCTAAACTAAAAAAAGGTTTGTCAGCAGAATTCCAAAAATATATATATATATATATATTCGCTATAAACGATGAGAAATCCATACATTATCGCACATCTTCTGAATGAAACGGCTAAGGAGCTCTTTCTGGATAGCCAAACCCATTTTTCGAACGAGCGAGAGAGAGAGACAGACAGACAGAGAGAGAGAATTCTCGAGATGCCTGTAGAGAGAGAAAATGTGTGACAGAGAGAGAGAGAGAGAGAGAGAATGAGAGAGAGCGAGAGCTGGCATCGACATAAATGAGAGTGAATGAGGTTAGTTTCGTCGGAGTCAGTAGTAGTGGACCTTTCTCTCATCTTCGTGTTTGTTGCTAAGCCAAGCTGAAAAAAGAGTGACGGAAAAAGGCTCTCTATTTGGTATTTGGTATAGCTCTCCAAACATATTTTCACTCTTATTTTTTAGTATCTTGTTTATTTACAATTTTTAAAAGTTAATTTCACATTTATTTTTAAAAATTCTTTTCAAGGTGAGAATGTTAGATAATGTCTCAATGGAATCACATAATTAAATGTGGTGTTATCATTTATAAAAAGCCTACAATTTAAGTGATTCAATTTAGTTAATAGGCTTAAGGGTATATGTGTTATGGACCTAATGTGTAGATACTAGTTAATGTGTAGATACTAGTTGTATAATTTCTATTTCGGACAGAAATAGAAATTAAAATCAATAATGGTTAAAGTTGGTTTTCATTCCTTTTGAACTTCCACAACCTTTCAGTTTTGAAAACCAATTACAACCAATGATTTAAAAGGTTATGATCCCTATTCCTTCCCAAGGGAAAATAAGAATACTGCCATTTTTTTCTAAATCCTCTCAAGGAGAAACATAAGGCACCAAAGGGGAAAGGATTAGAAGGCAATAACATAGTCAATATTAAGGTTTTATTGACAATCAGATGCTTCCGTTTAACCGTTCATCGATGGATTCGGGTAAGTTTTAGTCTTGTTTTCTTGATGATATACATGGTAGATGATCCGAAACATGAAGTTTCATGTTCTGAAATTTATGTTTACAAGTGGTATCAGAGCGGTTATATCATGTGTATTATCAGAATAAATATGCTTTTATTCATCCTATTTAGTTTCCTAGAATCAGATTCTGTTTTTTGTTTTCCTAGACTCAGATTCATCCTATTTTGTTTTTTCCTCTGCTGCAAATTTTGTTTTGTTTTCTGGAAATGGAACATAATTCGGATGGGCGGTTCATTTCTCAAATGGATGAACATCATGTATTTATATATATATAGTTTTGTTATGTGAAAATGGGAATCTGTTTTCTGGAATTGTAAAATGATTCGGTGGGCAGTTTTTTTTTTGGACCCGTCAATTCTATTTATATATGTATATATATAATTGGAATTGCTTCAGATTATATAACATATACGGGGTCACAAATTTAGAAATCTTTAAATTTAATGTAATTTCATACAACGTCTACAGAAATTTAATTTTCTAACATTCTCAATATAAGTCAATTCAAACAAGATGTCCCAAAAGTGATCTCTCTTGTCTAGATTGTTTTATATGGGATGTTTTGAAGTTCATGTCTGTGTATCTCATGCGGGTATTTATCGGTCCAAAGACATGATTAATACTTGGCAGAATTACACACACATTTTGTGGTGATAAACATGTGCCAATTGTCAAGAAAACCTAATGTGAATAATAAATCCATCAAAAGATAGATTTGTTATTTGACATAACTTATTGTCAATGTTTAATCATCACAACAAGAATACCACTTACAGTTAATATCACTACCCAAAGGCTTGGTATTAATGTTGTGCTAGGTATCTTGAGATGTTGTCATTAAATTAATTTATTTAGAGATTATCTGTTTGGTTACTTAATGTGAGCATATGGCTGCAGAATTTTGTCACTAGGTTGCGTGTTTTGGAAGGCACTGCAAGACCACTTAAGTTATATTGTGACAATAAGTCTGCAGTTTTATATTCCAATAACAACAGGAGCTCGACAAAATCAAAGCATATTGATATCAACTTCCTAGTTGTAAAAGAAAGAGTGCAGAGTGGACAGATTTCCATAGAGCACATTGGGACAAACTCCATGATAGCGGATCCACTTACGAAGAAACTACCACCCAAGGTCTTTCATGAGCACACTGCTCAGATGGGTGTTGTTCTATTTGAGGACATTCTGGTTTAGTGGGATTTATGTCAGCCTTGAGTTTTATCTATGTAATTAGATTAATTTCTGCAGAAATGAAATATTCAGTTTATTACGCTCTGTTACGTATTGTGAAGTATTGATCTCAATAAAGTTAAGTAGGACCAGTTGAAAATAGGCATGTATGGATCACATCACATGTAATTTCCATGCTACGCATCCATGATTGATCTATGTCATTTAGCTGTATTAGTATACGTGACCATTGGTGGGTCGAGTTACGATTAATGTAACGAAGACCGCTTTGATCCTATATTAATATAGTTAATGGACAAGATTGTTTGGATACCCTCAAGTTATGATAACAAATTTCTGAGCTCACTAAAGTTAAGCACATTTTTCAGGATACATATGTGGTCCAGTGGGAGATTGTTAGATAATGTCTCAATGGGACCACATAATTAAATGTGGTGTTATCATTTATAAGAAGCCTACAATTTAAGTGATTCAATTTAGTTAATAGGCTTAAGGGTATATATGTGTTATGGACCTAATGTGTAGATACTAGCTAGTTGTATAATTTCTATTTCTATGAGGGGCAGAAATAGAAATTAAAACATATTGGTTAAAGTTGGTTTTCATTCCTTTTGAACTTCCACAACCTTTCAGTTTTGAAAACCAATAAATAGAAATTAAAACCAATAATGGTTAAAGTTGGTTTTCATTCCTTTTGAACTTCCACAACCTTCCAGTTTTGAAAACCAATTACAACCTTTAAAATGTTATGGTCCCTATTCCTTCCCAAGTGGAAAATAAGAACACTGCCATTTTTTTTCTCTATCCTCTCAAGGAGAAACATAAGGCACCAAACGGGAAAGGATTAGAAAGCAATAACATAGTCAATATCAAAGGTTTTATTGACAATCAGACGCTTCTGTTTAACCGTTCATCGATGGATTCAGGTAAGTTTTAGTCTTGTTTTCTTGATGATATACATGGTAGATGATCCGAAACATGAAGTTTCATGTTCTGAAATTTATGTTTACAGAGAAATTTTGGACTAACCGGTCATTCTTCCGAAAGTCCAGCCGGTCGTCCCCTCAGATATTCAGTCAGTTGACCGGAACAATACATTTTTTTTTTTTACAATTGGCACCTGATAATTTTTATATTTTAAATAAAAAAAATTAGAATTTTTTAAAATTTGTTATGAGCTTTGAATAGAATTTTGAATTATGTATTTAGTTATGACTTGTAAGTTTTTTTATCAAATATCATATGTCACATCAAAAATTTCTCAATCAATTCAAAACTATTTTCAAAAGTCTTTTCAAAACTCATTCACCAAACAAATTTTCTACACTCAAATCACAATTCCAAAGCTCACAAACTCAAAATACAATTCTATTCTTAAATCATATTTAGAAAACTCTACCAAACGTTACTAGTGTTTTGCATTAGAGAGGGCTTTGACTGCTATTCCTTTCGGATTCTTCATTTTTTGGAGGGTATTTTAGTCTTTCAATAATTACATTGGCCCTATTTGAGAATGGGTGATTTTATTTACACAACACTAATACTTGTAGTGCGCACCAGTACTTAGTACACACATGTGATAATTTTTATGATTGACAAATATCTTATTTCATACATGAACTTTTCATTATTGACATTGTATTAACACATCACTAACTATTTGAATACACATCATTACACACATCAAAAACTATTCATCTTCACCACTATTACACATAAAATACTATTCATCTTCTCCACAACACACAACGGCCAGAAAAATCACTACGTCGTCCTCGTCGTCTCACCTACTGCTTCCTCTGCCGACATTAAGAAGGCCTATCCTCTTCTGGCTCTCAAGGTAATAAGCTCTGTACACAGAAAAGTAATGGAGGTCTAATTTGATTTGATTTGATTTGATTTAGGATATGTTGTTGTAGTTGGGAAAACTTGTAATTGCTAGAAACTAAAAAAAAAAAAAGTCTCAACCTTTACAAATGCAAATTTCATCACGTATTCACTATTGCTTTGAGTAAAGCGATTATGTTCAACTTGTGGCTAATAATTATTTAGAATAGAGCCCTTCGATTTGATTTACCCATTGAACTTCCATAGCAATTGATATTTTTAGTTTGGCTCAACTCTGATTGTTTGAACATAATATTAATATATAAAAAAATAAAATTGAACAAAGTAAATATGTTCAGAATATTTATATTGAACAAAATAAATAAGTTCATACTTTATATGCTGAATAACTTCAACTCATTTTGTTCAAATATAAATAATCGAACATTATATAATCGTTCAACTCTAATTATCCGAACACGATGAACAAACTCATCTTCCTAACATACGAACGAGACAAATAAAAAACCAAAAAGCTAAGTCATAAACTAACCTTTTCAATGTTTATATCGGAACCAATCATCATAGTGTCATCCATGGTGTGCAAAACTTCAAAACTAATTGATTTCAATGTTCTTAAACCTTAAATCTTCAAAAGGAGTTTAAAAAATAAGTATAAAGGAGAAAAGAATGAAGTGAGCTAATTGATAATGAATGATATATTGAGTGTATGTTAATGGTAAAGATGATGATGAAATACAATGTTCATATGTTAAAACCCTAAACCTTATAAAGATGATGGTGTGTGAAAAGTATTTTCTACTTTTAAATATGAATTTTTTGAATGGATAGAATACACCTCATCTTGTCCTTAATGGTCATTTCATTAAAAGATATTATTGTAATATAAATTTAATCTATTAATGGTGTGTACTGAGAGTATTAGTGGTGTGTAAATAGAATCACCATTTGAAAATAGGCTATTTTAGTTGGCTATTTGACTTTTTAGCTACTTTAGTCTTGCCAAAAAAAGTTATGTTTGGGATGATAATTTGTAATGCCCAACAAAATTTACACCTGAATACACCACAACAAGCACAACGGTACACAGAAGAGCCATCTTTCTCATTGAACTAAGAATCCAAAGTTGACAATTACAAAGTTTATATTTCCACAATACCTTAAACTCATCTCCAAGTTCAATGATCTAGACGATATTACAAAAGAAAAAGGCCCCCAAGGGCATACAACATTCCAAAATACTTACTTAGTACAACAAGGTAAGTTCCTAAAGGTGTAATACAAAATTATAAGTCTTAACAACCAAAATCTTCTTGAGCTATTAAGTCCCAAATTGA